AAAAAAAAAAAAAAAAGGCAACCTTAAAAGTCAACGTTTCTTTCTAGTTAAGCCCTAGAACAGTGGCTGTCTGAAGGAACCAGTTAAATCGGACATAAGGACAATTACTCAACAAACATTTCACACCCGTGTGTAAGGCTCTATATTAAGCACGCTCTGGAGGAGTCACAAAAGACACAGCACAGTCGCTGCTGAAAAGGAAGCTGAGACTCTGCTGGAGGGGCCAGAAGCGAAAGGCAGCACTCAGACCGGTGCCGGGCGTTTCTGGAGGCTGTGCTCTGGGCACCCGGCCTGTCAGCGAGCTCTTTCCTCTTCGAACAACTGTAGGAGTTTAAAGGGAGCGCACTCTTCCCACGGCCACCCTCGTCTTCTGAGGAAAGAGTGTCTGTGGTGAATAACACCACCCAGCCCTAACCACGTGGACTCCTAACTCTTACGGCTAACCAGTCACTCTTCCATCGGCAAACACCGACGGAGGCCCCGGAATACAAGACAGGGCCTGTCCACAAGCTGCCCGCCGTCCGGTGGGGGACAGAGGAGGCAACGGGTCAGCACATCAGGGCTCTGCGGGGGCCCACGCTGTCCACAGGAGCACCCAGGGTGGGACCTGACCCGACTCGCTTGCTACCTGCTGCTGGCAAAGGAGAGACAGTTAAGCGTGCGTTTGGGGTTTGGCCTGTCACATCATCTGAACATACAAGGAAAAGGAGGCAAACGTAGGTAGTTAATACAGGGACCCCAGCCAAGTTTGAAACCTACATAGCACCAATTTAAACTCACAGCGAAAAAAGGAATTTACCGATTTATACTAACTTACTAAAGCAAGTACAGGCACTTAATAGATACTTAATGTCCTTGAACCAAGAAATCGGAAAACTATGACCAAATCCCTAAAACTAAAGGGGAGCCATTCTGACGAGGGAGCAGAGTTCCAACGGTTTGCTCTCCGGGAGGCCCGCTGCACTCGCCTCGCACTGCTGTGGACCCCGAGGCTCACAGGGCTTACGCGGCCTGTCCACGGTGGTCGAGCTGGTCCCTGCCCACCGGGACCCAGGGGAGCCCCTGTTGTGGGCGGCTGCGCTAGAGAAGCTTCAGGTACACGGTTTCACCAGGGCCTCATTCCTCCCTACCCGCTGTCAATATCCCAGGTTTATTACAGCAGGGGAGAGTGGGGGTCAGAGCAGTTCCAAAAGTTGCCCAGCTCACGTGGCTAATAAGCCAGGATTTGAACCCCAGCCTGTCCCACTTCCCGCCTCGCCAGCCCAGAGACTGACCCGTGTGGCCTGAGCATGCAGAGCGGAGAAGCCTCGCAGCCCCGCGTGAGGGCGGGGAGGCCTGGGGGGAACTTACTCTGTAACAGCTCACTGGTCAGGTTCAAGGTTTCCTTCGGCGACACACTTGCTGTGGCACCAGTGCCCGATTTCTGCGTTTTCACTCGACTCTTCTTACCCATTTTCTGACTACAGAGAAGACAGAGAAAAGGCAAAATGCATTACGTTTCCAAAGAATCAAATCAAATAATGAAACATGGCACAGCAGCGGCTTAGCCTCGAGATGCTAACATTTTACTTCATGTGCGTCACATCCTCCAGTTTCCTTCCAGAAAAAGAGATGTGTGACAAGTATGAATATTTGGAGGCTCTCAAACAAACAAACAAACGAAAAAATCACTTTACTTTCTGGAAGAAAAGTTCCTTCCTTTTCACCTACAAAAACCATAGTAGAAGCAAATGTTACTCCGGAACTTTTTCAAGTGACACATTTTACCGTGCACGCTCCAATGCTTACCCCCTGACACTACACAGAGAAAGATTTTGTATCCACACGTGTAGCACGAACCACCATACGGGCGCAAAAACCTATATTCTCTCCCACTTTGCTTTAGAAGAATCATCGCCCGTTGGCAGCAACTGTATCATGAGCAGTAGATTACGGACAAATGCTGAAGACATTTGAGAGCTCAAAGACGCTTCGGAGAGGTACTCTAACACTGCCATTCTGTCTCGCTGGAGAAGTCAAGGCCGGGGTTTCATCCCAGGAAAGCGACGGCAGCCCCCCGCTGGAACAAGGTCTCCCCGCGCCTCCCCCCACGAGCCTGGTAGCCTCTCACAGGTAGGAGACGTGACAACAGTCCACAGCAGGTGACACAGTGGGACACAAAAGCACCAACAGCATGCTGGGCACAGACTGTGAGAGGATGCTCGTCTGAAAACGCTTTAAATTTTTTTTTAATGTGTATTTTTGAGAGAGAGAGAGAGAGAGAGAGAGAGAGAGACAGAGCATGAGTGGGGGAGGAGCAGAGAGAGAGGGAGACACAGAATCTGAAGCAGGCTCTAGGCTCTGAGCTGTCAGCACAGAGCCCGGTGTGGGGCTCGAACCCACAAGCTGTGAGATCATGAAGTCAGACGCTTACCTGACTAAGCCACCCAGGCGCCCCTGAAAACGCTTTATAACAAGGAGCCTCAAGATGTGCCTTGAAGAAAGTAAGGGATTGGGATGGGTGGGGCAATCCCAGGCAAGAGCAGGAATGAGGGAAGTACGAGGGGGCCCCGGGGGGGAACATGCCTGGCTGGAGTGGTGGCTCCCTGTGATCTTAGCACCCGCCCCCACCTTCCCCCCCCCCCCCCCCCCCCCACCGTGAGTCGGCCACCTGAAGGAGGCTACAAGCGCCCTGAGGAGTCTGGCCCGGGCGTTCCTCCTCCAGAGAGCAGCACTTCAGGATGACAGCCCAGCAAGATGGAGAGTGCTCAGCCAAGAAGCTACTGCAGACATCCGAGCACCGATCAATGACCGACACTGCAACGCTGCTCCACGGAGCCCTCCCGAGTTACATTTAACCCAAAAGGGAACCAGAAGGCATGCTCTGCCCCATTTATTTTTACAAAAGGAAAGGACTCTTGTAGTGTGGAGATGAGGGATGGGATAAAAGGTTGCAACGTCACACTCTCCCACCGCAGAGATGATCCCTGACCTCATCTGAATGGAAGCCAGGCAAATATGGCCCATGTGCTGAAATAATAGAAAATCGCACACCCTGACTAGGATAGGTTTCTTCTCTTATGTATCTAACACGTGGGTATAATGTGTAACTTTATGTATCTAATAAGTCTTCTTAAACAGTGTGCCCTACACAGTGTATGCCATCCTGGAATCAGAAGGAACAGGTAAAAATACCTAAAACTTTTGCAGCAAGGAATTAGTTGCTTTGAGATCAAAAGCAGAAAAACAAAACAAAACAAACAAACAAAAAACTGGGTGGGGGGGGAGGACGGAAGCAGGAAGAGCTTAAGCCCCTTTTCCTGAACTTAAGGACTAGCTTCTGAAAGGAGAGAGACGCTCCCCACGTGCCCATGTCACTTGCTCACGGCCAAGCCGAAGGCACAGCCTGATTGGAGCACCTCCCATTCATTCTTCTCTGCATCTCGGGCTCTCTGTCCACTGAGAGCATGTCTGGCAGGAACCACTGAACCTGACCACAAATAACTAAAACTACCCAGGAGTCTAGAAAGATTTCTTTTACGGTGGTGATTTTTTGTATTCTTTTCTTCCTTTTTTTTTTTTTTAATTGAAGTGCAGCTGACATACAATATTATATTAATTTCAGGTGTGCAATTTAGCGATTCAACATTCGAATACATGGCAAAGTGATCGCCCTAATTCTAGCTGCCACCTGCCACGGTGCAAAGTTGTTACAGTATTAACAACTCTATTCCCGATGCTGTAGTTACATCTCTGTAACTTACTTGTTCTATAACCAGAAGTCTGTCCCTTTTAATCCCCTTCCTCTATTTTACCCATCCCCCTGCCCCCAAAGGACTTTAATGACACTTCTAAATACAGCTCCGTGGGAAGAACCATAGGAACCAACCCCCGTGAGTGGTGGGCTTGTTCGGCCTCTCCCTTCAGTCCTGCTGGCAAGCCTCTCGTGTATCAGGCTCCAAACAACTTAAGAACATCACTTTGGGGGTGCCAGGGTGGCTCAGTCAGTTAAGCATCTGAGTTCTGCTCAGGTCATGGTCTCACAGATCGTGAGTTCGAGCCCTGCATCAGGCTCTCTGCAGTCAACGCAGAGCCTGCTCCAGATCCTCTGTCCATCCTCTCTCTCTACCCCTCCCTTGCTCGTTCGTTTTCTCTCTCTCTCTCAAAAACAAATAAACATAAAAA